AGGATGAGTGATGGAGCCTCCAGGCGAGTACGCGTGCGTGGAATGTGAACAATTACGTGGTCTGTGTGACGGTCCTGCAGGGGTGACTGGAGCTGAGGGTCGTCAGTGCAGTAGTAGATCTTGACCTAATGTGGCGGAGACGGCGGAGCGGAGGAGCTTAACGACGCTAGAACAGCAGACTCAGAGCGGCGACGGAATACGGAGGATCCCAAGGACTAGTCCCAATGACAAAGGTTAGATTGGTGTATCTACAGGTACATCAGGGTATGAATACGCACCTAGTCCCAATGACAAAGAGGTCGAGATGGGGACTAGGGATGGAGGTACAAGGTTTATATAGTAAATCCTGGGCAGTGTCCATAACAATGCCAAACAAATGAGTCAGAGTCCAAAAGCACAGCCCACGCGGAGTGTGAACGAAACAAGACAATGCGCGAGAAGATAAGAGAGATAGGGGTAAAAGAGAAAAGACAGGGGCTGTACCCTCGCGTCCGCGACAGAGTAGTAGGTGTGCAAAGACCGAGATGAATATATAGTCCATGTTGCAATTACTGTGTACTACAGTCAGACAGTCTACAAGGAACAGATAAGAACATACCGTTCACCACCCTGCAGGTTGCCAACTCCCAACGCTAACGTGAACTCATGACGTGTGCACATGACCATACCGACACCTGTTGCTTGCAGACCTTTTGAGAGCTTGTTATTAACACCTGACATCGCTCGGAAGCTACTACATGTAGACGTCTGAGCGTGACAATCTGTTAGATCAGCTGATCTCCAAAACACATGCAAGGGAAGAATGACTCATGTCTTTCTGACTCTCATAGCATCAAACATAGTCCATGTACGGTCCTGTCTTTACGAAGTATGCTAACCCGTTGAATAACTCGATATCGGATGGCAATCTGCCATGATTGCGGTTCTTCAACCGGAAATTGGCATCCATTGCAAGAAAGAGGCAATATAGAAACCTGCCATCATCAGCTCAATATAAACCCATGGATGAAGGCCGGTAACCTACTTTTGAGACGGGTCAGCACTCTCCCAGCCCTCAGGAAGATTGATATTTGGATGCGGACACGCGGGGCAGGCTACAGCAAGCTCACCCGGCCCGGTGGTGTCTATTCAATTTGCAATGTTACCGTGACCTGCGTCCTTCATGAGGCGTATGTAGCCGTGCTGACGCAAGATGCAAAGGAACACTTTATAATGACTCTTTGGGATTTTGTTAGCTACAGATGAACTGAACTGTAAATGTAGACATACCGGGGGAACATCGAGGCCGAGTGGGTCTGTAAGGGTCTCGAGAGCCTGATAATAACCGTGCGGAGATACTTTAGTTCGAGACATGAGGGCGGAATACTGTACGAGAGCCTCCTCTGTGCATGCGGTCTCTGGTGTGTCAACAGTGGAGGGGTACCACCCATATTGTAGAAGTTGTTGACGGTGAGGGACTTTCTTGTTGCAGCTGCAAAAGTTAATGGAGATGCGGTGTATTCCAGTTGTGTGAATGACGACAAATTTCATATGTCCGGCCTGTTGTAAGACGCACTTGGTCCCATCCTCGTGGCCCATATCCACCCCTAGGCCAAGCAACTTGAGTGAAATGCGGTCGAAGAATGACCCATTCCATTTCTACATCAAAACCAGGTTATTCGTCAAACTCACAGTCATTAACGCACTCATACCTGAGTAAAATGCAGAGGCAAATGTTGGTGAGCTGCGACACAGCACTCTTTACATGACATGTGACGGCCGTTGCAGCTCTCGCATCAGTATTCTCTCAGTCTGCCGCTCTTGCAATAACACGGTAGCATGGACACATTCCCGCAACCCTCCCATCGTATATACTCGTTCAGATATTCATTGCAATATCCTGGGCGCTCGGGCCTGCCAACCCACACCAGGAGAGGATTATCCTAATAATATATCATGGTAAGCATCTATTTCTCACAGAGTATAACATACTAAGCCAACTGAGGATAAGTAGTGTTTTCGCAGCACTGAAGTCACGACTACATGGTCGCTTGCTTTTGGTTCTGCCATGTCTGAGCATTGATCTCCTTCTTCATCTGGATCCGTCGCATCCATGTACGGTTCCCAATCCTCTGACATCCAATACAACTGATCATCAGAGTCACCTCCCTCACCCATCTCAGGCTCAGACCTGCCCAGGTCTTTGATAAAATCGACTTTGATGCGTCTGCCGTCCCTCGAGATGTCCTCTACACGAGTGTACATCTTTTGGAGTCTCGGATCATCGTCCTCATCGTCTTCGAGGTAGTTGGATACATCACTATGTCGTTGTTTCTTTTCAATGATAGCTGCGATAATGTGTGCCGGGGTAGTGGCAGAAAAAGCGATGGAGCTATTGACCAGCACGTTGGCTCTGCTGTGCTAGCGACTAGACACGCTCAGTCGGCACACTGACTTCTTCGTTTTTCTGCCAGATTGCCGCTGCCTACAAGCGTGTCCGCGGCCTTTGCGGCTTCTTTTCAAGCACATCAAAGGGACCTTTGATCTAACCAATTACATGGGTGATTTATTGCTGGACTAAACCTTGCTAGCTTCTTTTCAAGTGCATCAAATGGTCCTTCAACATAAGATTACACACATGTTGTTCTATTCTCGGATGAGACCCGCAGTTTTAATTAACCTGATTCTAGGTTGTTTTTACAGGTAATCGCTTCACCAATCTCTACCGCTGCGCCACCAGGCGCACAATGCCCTTCGGACATATAAAGTTACGAAGGAGTTTGCTCGGAGACATAGCTCAGTCTCTCGCCGCCATGGCTCCTACACCATACTCGCGCTCCACATACCCTCGCTCTCCGTATCTGTGTTCTCCCCCCAACTCGCCGGCATTGGTCTCCAATCTAGATGGTGTTCATGCTCCCTCCGAGGGCCCCTCCACTGCTCCCCCTTTGTCCACTGACATCATGCCGCCTTCGTCCTACCAAGTCTTCCCATCCACTGAGCAGCCTGCCTTGCCAGCGTTGACGGATCAACCTTGCCCCATCTTATCATTCCCGGCTTGCGCTCAACCTCCCTCGGATCCCTTGCATTTGTTCGCATTCCTCCCCAAAAAGCCAGTGTACGCAGTCGACTGCAATGTTGGTCACTTCAATATTTGCATGCAAGGTAGCGGCACCCAGTCCGAGGTTGTTACTGCATGTGTCCATTGATGCTGCTGTGAGTTTGTGGCCCTTCCCTTCGTAGGTGTTAGCTCACACTACCCTTAGTGGACCTCATAGCCGAGGCGGCTGTAGAACTTTTCACTAACTTTCCCGACTACCGCATCAATTTTCAGGAGATGGTACAAGTAGCTGTTCACAACGAGGTCCTCAACATCTACAACAACAAGGACCTGACAAGGTATTTGACTTCATTGAACCACCGCGCCATTACAATGCCTAGCTCACAACACGTTTTATTTGTCAGATTTTTCCAGCAGTGCGCTGGGCAGGAGATGCATCAACAGATTGAGTTGGCCCGAGCGCGCATCGCCACTGCCAACAGCGCGCACGCTCGAATGGATGGCAAGACAGTGGAAACGGCAGTACGTACATCTTTGCCTTTGTTTTCATATTTGTCATTAGACGTCACTGCTCAATGTTTCCCAGCAGTTCAGTCATCTCCCCACTGACCCTCGTGACGCCTCTCATTCCGAGAACATCGGATACACTAACAGTCGGAGGGTAAACAAGGATCGTCTCCCCTTTGGTGTTGTCCCACTGGACGGCATCATTAATTGCAATCTCAAGGCTTCTTTTTGACGCTTGGTCTCGGAGCTCCCCCTTAGGTCGGTGAAACTTTCCCCGTCGATGATAGCAACATATATCACTCCACATGCCCCCTCCGAGCCGCCGTATTATTGGGTTCCGTATGGCTATGCCATCGGCGTCTTCTCAAAGCTGTGAGCACCTTTACATAAGCTTTATTCAGGGAGTCAATCTAACATAGTTTAATTAGGGATATTTACAATAGTGTGTGGTCTGGAGGCCAAGGATTGGTCGGTCATGAGGTGTCCTCACTTGAGGAAGCCCTCAATGCCTTGGAGAATGTGCTGAGGGAGGGTCACTTCAGCCTCATACACTAGTTGATTTATCTCCACTGTAGCCAAAACGTACCTGTTTATATCTTGGTATTTGCTGCATTATTACTAGGTTGAGGGCATGTACTATCATTACAAACGTTGTTGCATCTATTTTGGCATAATCTCAAAAATCAATCTTTTACCATATTTGCGTGGCTATCCAAGTATCTGCTATCTGCACATAAAAGCGACTCAGCTGGTGAGATGGACATTTTAAGTAGAGATCTAACTTGTTGTCATTGATATCATAGGCAGACTAGTAGATGAGAACATGCATATGTATTTGAATCATATCTCCATGGTAGACAGCTGCCACCTGGAAAGTTCACGATGTATTCAGCAAAAACAGAAATGCATTAGTCCGACACCCTTGATCGAATGGTTCTTGCTCAGATATTGTCCCTTGGTTTGCAATGGGTGCACCCACCTATGTATGTCTTGAGAGTAGTCTACATGCCCACACGGTGCGCGGAAACAATGGTGGTATATGGTAGGCAAGGTAGCAAAGTGAACGGGTTGGCCATAGCAATATATCAGTTGTGAATGTTCCCGTCATAACGCATGTATGTGAAATACCGCCTCTTCAAATTCTGGCTCTGGAGATCTCAGTTTAGGACCTGATCAATGTTGTGGATATATATTACTGCTATCATATATACGGAGGCCAGTAGCAAATGCATAGCTGCGCACCGGCTAGTACTACTCTCTAGAATGTATCCATGAGGTACCAAAATTTATGACCAAACATGGATGTAGCTGGTGACATTGTATATGTACATGTATTACACAATAAGCTATGGATCAATCACATAAACACTTGAATGCATAACTATATGGACACTTGCTCTAGGTCTTGAAGCTCAAATATTTACATGGGTACTTTACACGCGTGCACTGTACGAACTATATAGTTTGAACATGAAGCTTGAAGTTTGAATCTGTGCGTGCAAATAGTCAAGTTAGTATGATATCAATGTTTAATACTAAGCTTCCCAAACACATCGTATGGGGTGTTAACGTTTAATGTTAACATTGGGCCTGTACTCATATAGGGCGAATACAACGGCATAAGATGAACGGAAAATGTTTTCACAACCGGTACTATTGTATCATCTGGCATAAACCAGATTCGAATGAAACCCAATGTTATGCGAGTCCAACAATATGAAAGAAGTCAAAATCTGTTTGTTCAAGTTGGTAGAGTATACCGCAGAGCTAGCTATGAGGATGTATAGATGATCAAAATGCAATAGGTGCCTCTGTAAACTCACGCACAATCATCCAAACTGCTCATGTCAAGCTGGGTTTATTCACAGTTGCGTAATCCTTAGGTGACATAGGACAAATAGCACTTAGTACTCCGAGCCCTCGCTTTCATTCTCACAACATTTACACTATTACCATAAGTTTCAGGTGCGTATACTTCAAATAAAAACCCTTATGTTCATTGGGTTGAAATCTTAATGCCTAGATATGATTGTGAAGGCTGGTATGTTGTCTTATCCAGCAGAGGGAAGTGTACAATATGTCTTTGCAATTTGTCATATTCTACTGAACTATTTGGAAAGCACCCGCACATGAGCTCCTATCAGCATTCGAAGATCTACAAAAGCAGATAACCTATGTCCGTAGATGATCAATGAGGCTGAGGTCTTGAGGATCAGCCTTCTATTATGGTGACTATCTCAGCTCACTAGGCTATCTCTGCGTTTATTTAAACAAGGTGGACGCCTCTTCCCAGCACCGTCTCCACCCTGACTCTCTTCCGTGCCCATGTCTCCATCCTCACACCCCACCGAGGATTTTTTCTCCGAGCTTGATGTCAGGGAAAAAACCTCTGCTGCTACTGAAGCTTGGCATGAGTGGGACCGTCTCAGGTATCAGGAGCAAGTCAGCAGCTACAAGATGTTCGTATGAAGCTGTTGTTTTCCTTCCCGTCGGTTTCTGACACTTTTTCTAGGCAACAGGATGTTATCATTTGAGAGCAGCTTCGAAACAACAAAATTTGTCGCAAGGAAGAGCCTCCTCATCTGGTCGTATTCTTTGACGAGCTGGTTTTTCTTACAGCTACATTATCAGACTCTCACTGGGACGACATGGACAATGATGACCACTTTCGATTGTAAGTTCATTCTGTCAGTTATAGCTACCATAGTATTTCTAACGTTAGTATTATTCAAGGTGGACTGTCAGTGGCTGCAAAGATGGTACATATCATCTCAAGGGCCTTATGATGCAGTTAGTATCAAATAGGACACCTTTCGAACTTGGCTCCCTTGAGTTTCTCCACTGGCAGTTAGCCATAGAAAATGGCACGCAGGTGGAGGAAGACTTTTTGGAGGAGTTGCAGTATGCCGTGACCTGCTTTCTTGGCTTCCATGGTCGCATTCACCGGGTCCAGCACGCGCTGCACCAACTTGTTGGCGATGACTCGACAGAATGGTTTCATGCAGACAGGGTCGGGTGCCAGATCACCAAGTACGTTGCCATTATCAAGGACTTACTCAATCATATGTATGGCGGCACAGTCAATATTTTTGACTACTGGGTGAATGATCTGTTACTGTGTAATTCTGAACCTCATTAGATACGAATCTTGATAGCCTCTTGTGCGCAAATATATTGTTCAAGTCTTGTCTTTGATATTTATTTGCCTGAAGCAGTCAACAATAAAAAAAACATGGAGAAGTGTTAGTTACCAGTTGGTAATCAAACCTTGAAGCTTGAAGCCCGAAGCCTGAGGCTTGAAGCACCAGATCTTCTAAGGTTTGAGTTCAAATTGTGAGCTACACGTGTCCATGTGTAACTACCACTGTCTTTTCAATAGAAGAGAAGCTGAGAGTTCTGGCACACACTTAACTCTGCATCATATCATCCAATCATGTTCATTAGATCTGACCAATAAGCAGGCGGCAAGTGTTTTTATCTCGGTTGCGCGTGGCTAACAATAGATGCTCGAGATTCTGAGTAACTAGACAGCCATGAAAGTACTCGTGCAAGTATTACCTCATGACACCGCTGTGCACAAGGTCTCGAGCGCTCACAAAACTTCCAATCACGTCAGAAACGGTAGTTACCGCCGCAGGATGTTGAAGCGAGCTAGTATTGAGCGTTCCTGCTCCGTTTGCTAAGATAGAAGCAGCGACCCGATTAAGGGACAAATAGGATGTATTAATCAAACCCGTATTCACACATTATGAGAACCCATATGCTTCTGGAACGCATTTAAACATGCTGCTTCGCTTCTGATGGGACTGATTTGGAAAGCTCAAAGTCGGTTCAATTGCTCAGGGTACAGGGTTCCATTGCCGTCACAAATAGTAACAAAATGATGAACTTTGCGCTTGGCCGAGCACCGTCGAGGGTACGAACACTACAAAACTGGCAAAAGGCTCGACTGTGGCAATTGATATTCACCCTCAGAAACCTAACATTGTAGACATACTCATCACAGGACTCAATGTACCAAGATATCAAACTATATTTGCATAACTGCGCGCTATGGGTTTCGTACATGCAATGGTCAATAACAAAAGATTACTCGAGTAGCAAGGCTTGGTATGTGATACGATATTTCAGACAGTGCGCTGACGTTTAATAGACCTTGCCTTAGCAGTATTTTCAACGGGCTCGTCAGGTCTGGGATAAAAGAATTGTTAGTAACAGAAACGCATATAAGTCGGGGTGACATACCGAGAGTGAGAGTGGACGATGCAGCTCATCACCCACTTGGTGTCCTGGATGGCAGCGAGCCATTGAGGGTCCTTGCTTGCGGCGGCGGTCTCAAAGCCCCACCATTTGAGACATACAACAATGGATAAGAATCCGTTTATGCCAGGCTTGTCGAGCGCGGAACAGTCTCCGTCACGGCCATGGCGAGGAAGGGGAGAATGCGAAAGCCCAGAGGGCGCCGTGATTTCTCGCCACTCTGGCTGAAGACAAGCCCACCATCTCCACCAGTGGCCAGCAAATGTTTTGACATCAGGAATGGATGGGCGTACCGTGACAAGATGCTTGCGTGCAATCCACCAACGAACCTCTTGAGGCCTATCCTTGGAGTCCAGCATCCCTGCAGGACCCTGGAGAGACATGAACTTAGAGGATTTCTCCAGGTGTACCCATTCTTCAAGAATCTGTGTGTACGGGTCAGGTAGAGTCCAACCTTGTCATTGTCCAATTGCGGCTGATGTTCCGCGGTCAACCTTACGACGATCATCAGGTGGGAGGATATCTGGTAGCCTGAGGTACTCTAGCACGTGACTGATCCAGGTGGGAGCACCTACGACGAGGTTGAGATTGCTGAGCGGCATCTTGGTGGTTCCTTCCACGCCGACATGGGGATCTATGTGACAGAGAATAAAGTACAATTAGAATACACCTATCATGGTGACCTAAGATAAGGGACTCGCCTGTGGTTACGACACCTGCTCTCTCCAATCCGTGCTTGCGTCTGAGACCAATCCACTGTAAGCAATGAATAGCACATAAAGAGAGAATCCTGACCATTCATTGGCAACAATAACCGCGTCATTAGCTATGGTAGACCTGTACAATCTAGTGAGTATAGGTAACAGGGGTGTATATGCTGCAGCAAATTTACCTTACGGGATCCTTCGCCGTTGTGCCTTTGGTGGTGCTGACCTTCCTTGGAGATGTCCTACGTAGAATGGGGAGATGATTGAGATGGTGAAACATAGATGTAGTGGTACTTACGCAGCGCCGCTACCAGACGTGGTCTTGGAGGGAACTAAGGGACAGTCAAAAAAAAATCGAAAATTGAAAGAGACAATGTACCCTTGGACGACTGTGTCTGTGATGGTAAGGGCTCTTCCTCGTCCTGCCCGCTGCGATGGTGTGTGATGTAAACCTTGGTGACAGGCGGACTGTTCTCCTCCTCGCCGGAGTCAGTGTTCTTGGAGTCAGTGTCAGTGTAGATCACTTCATCCTCTTCTTCTACGCTAGAGGGCACTGTGCGCTTGCGCTTCCCATTACTTTCCGATGGGTTGTTGACTGGCTGCATGGTCCGTGCGGTTGCCCTGCGTGTTGCAAGCTTGGGTTTGGGGATGGAGGGAGTGGGTTTAGTTGAACCAGTTGTGGCAGGAGATGGTGCCTGCACAGTTTGCTTTTGAGAGGGATTCACATGTTGGTGACTGACGCTTGGAGTTGATGTGTTATCGCTGCTTCTGGTATCACGCACCAATAGTGATTGGCCCGTGATATGGTTCAAGATGAGCGCTAATACAGTTTGCCAATGCACCCCAGGGATACGCAGGACAAGAATACACCTCATAACCAAGAGAGCAGAAGGGCGCGACCGAGTCTCTTCCCATCACCATGCTCGGCATAGTCATAGATGATCCATTCCTCTTCACTCTGGTGACCGTCATCTTCTCAGTCACATTTGTTGTCTTTCTCTACTGCGTCCTCCTTGCGTGGCTCATCAGCGACAGTATCTTCCACTCCTTTGACCTTCTTCGCCAATTCCCAGAGCCCCAAATGTATCCCGACACCACCTTTGTTTGCTGCATTGGCAACAGAGACTACTTCGTTGCAGACCCTCATACGAACTTCAATGACCATCTCAAGGTCGGCATCGGGTCAATTGTGACCATCATTCTTCCTGCTGGCGAAGGACAAGCTAAGGCTGCTAGGGGCCCTGTTCACTCCATTTGCCACTATGAGCAGGACTACGTTGTCTTCAACATCTACTCCACAGAACATCGCCCTCTCCACTGCGTTGCTTGTCTGGCTTTACCTTATCACCTCTGCAACCTTTCTTTCGTGCGGCGTAGCGTCTATCATGCCCTCCACCCCATCAGTTCGCAGACCAGCAAGGACTTCATAGCAGCATTCCTGGAGGTCACGTTGTCTGGGGTGTCTAGGACATCCAGCAACTCATCAGCCATTGACCATGAACACTCCTTTGCCAAGCCACCGGTATTCCAGCATAGGCCACTGCAGTAGTTCTCCTCCACTACCCTACTCAGTGCTTGGTCAGCGCCTCAGGGGGAGCACAGCCTCAAGACCACTGGCTTGGTCATCAATGAGTCACTTGGAGTGGAAGGCAGTGTTGGATTTGTGAGCGCGTTACTATTTCTACTATCTTCTTCTTGCATCTGTCATTTGATTTATCAGCCATTCCCCTTGCTTATTCACTTGCTTTGTTTTGATTGGACTATGGACCACTACTTCCCCTTGCTTATTTGTCCACTTCCCTTTTCTTTGTCTTTTGTTCTCATACTTACTAAGAATGCTGCGCAAGCGCAGCCTCGCTGTTTCCTTTTCACTGTACTTTGTTCTTGTGGTTCTTACCAAGCGTTCTCGTGGCTCTTACAAATTGTTCTTGTATTATTCAGTTCTCTTACTCAGTGCCACAGCCCTACTTACAAATACTATACACATAGCCCTTACTATACACGTACACGCAAAGGCTTAGTAGTATATATACCAGTAGTTAGACTGTGCAATGAGGGACATCTTCCTCCCTGATTTCCAAGTGTGAAGTCAGTACTCATTAAGCTCATCATCAATCTCTAATCATCATCGTAACTATCATCTCTCTATACTCCATCATCATCCTCAACTATTATCCCTCATCATCGCTACTACTCCCCAATCCATCTTCGTATATCAATCCTCCCTATCACTCCCACATCGCTCCTATCTACATTTGGTTGACCTAGGGCCACTTCTCCCTGAACAACCAGACCGTTGTACATTTTAGGAGAACCTTCAACATCTGGGACTTGGTATTACACTAGTAGTACCTGTTGTCACAACTGACACCGGGAGTTGCATTCTGGGAAGGGGTATGGCTGGGCCGGGGAAGTGGCGCTGCGCAAGATGGTGAAAGTGCAACCGAATGGGGGACTGTGGAAGACCCAGACGCCTCATGGTTGGGGATCTGGTTGCCAGGTTTGCCCGTGCCAAGCAAATCAGACGAAGATCCCTCTGGAGCAGATTCATCGGCTTTTTTTAGCGCAGACTGCGCCTTCATCTCTTTGGCTGCAAAGGTGAAATTTTAGCCAGTGGTGTTAGGAAAAGTGAATAAACTTACTGAAACAAGTACCCACAAAATCCAAGAACACCTTCATTGCAGCCTTGTGCGTCTGAGGCTGAGCGGCTGCCCGGTGCTGCGGAGACGCGGAAACAGTCTCGCCCCTATGCATTCTGCGCGGTTGTAGGAATAAGAGGCTACGACTGAAATAGCAATACAGAGAAAACTTACACAATGCAGTTCAGGCAACCACCTTTGCGAGGCTTGGGTCCTGCTAAGAACAGGGCGAGATGAAGTCCCGTAGCTTCATGTACCTCATCAAGGATGGGTGATATGAAAGTCTGCAGAGTATCAATCACACTTAAATGATATTCAGAGCAATTAGTAATGCACAAGTAGCCGGAAACAAAAAAAAATCAATGATGCACCTCTGTCTACCCTCGGGGGACGTGTCGATGGGGGCGTTGAGACTTGCTTTCCACTTAGCAACCTTGTGTTTGTGGTCCTCTTTTGCCTTTGCCTCGCAAGAGAGCTGCTCCGCTTTGGAGAGCTTGTTGAAATATTGAGTGGTGATCCTTTCGCTGAACTGAGATCAATACTTAGAACCAAGCCGTCCTTTCTCTGCGTCCCAGCGAGCATCGCAGTCCGCCTTGACAATCGAAGCATAATGCAGCTTCAACCAGAACTGCATGGCGGAGAGTTTTTTGGGCTTCACACTTGGAACACCGGATAGCTGCTTAAGAAGACGTGTCCAGACATCATTCTCTTTGCTGCCCGGCCAACCCACTAGCTTGGTGCTGTTGATGCGGCAATCAAGCCAGGCTGTGATAGACTGAAGCGGGGGTTCATTAAGTCAGCACTCAGAGAGAAAAAAGAAGAAAAAAGAAAAGAAAAAAGTGACGAGCTTACGGTTTTGACGGCTTCGATCTTATGAGCTTTTTGATCTTCTTCGACCTTGGATAGGTCCTCAACGGCATGAGGATTGAAGTTGTCAGGAACGGGGTCGGACATCTTGTTACACCAAGGTACAAAATTGAAGAATTCATTGGTGACGGTGTCAACACAGTCATGGACGCGCGAGTTTGATTGCGAGCGTGCAGTGCAATACCCCTCAATATGCCCCTCCATGAATGACAGGACATGACCCTGCACCCAGCCTTTGTGGAGAGTCTCGACATAGAAGAGCGGATCGGCGGGGTGGCGCTGGAGCATCTCGTCGGGTGCTGAAACGTCATGGATAGGTGCCGCGTCACCAGTCGACGCAGTGTTGCTGGTCGCCACAGTATCCTGAGCCAACGTGACAGCATCATTCGGTGTAGCATCGTGGGTCGGCGTGGCATCGCGGGTTGGTGCAGCATCGTGGGGTGGCGCGACCGCATCGTGGGTACCTGCAGCTTCAGTGCCCGCCGGCTCGGCGAGGTTGGGCTGCTCTACAACAGAATTGTTCATCTGCAAGTAAGGAAACGAGAAAAGGTTACAATTTTTGAAAAGAAAAGAAATGGTACATACCTGCAATTTCCAGCTGAGGTGCGAATGAGAGGGGCAACGGCAGGAGCAAAAAAAGGCAAGGGGAAAATCCAATGTGTGGATCTTCCCAGTATAAAAGATGGCACTAGCATAGACAATGAGTCCTGACTTGAGAGGCACATTGCTGTAAGCAACAAAAACAAACATTGCTCTATTTGACATACCAACTTCTACATGAGGATACTGGTAGTAGCCAATCCGCGCTGTGGTAACAATCCACGGTGTAGGGTATATCTCACGTTAATGATCCATGGTTTGGCTAAAACAGCCTTGTGTGTGCTTCTGCATTGGGAAATTCACACGCCATCAACACCCAGCCCGGTGAATCAAAATCCACATCCTACCGTTTCTCAGCTCAATCAGAATCCACCCATGATCAAAAAATCCCCTATGCCCACACCAGGGATGCGTATGGATAGAAGCACAACCCCGCCTAATTCCCTAAAATACACAGCTTTTGCAAAGTCATTGGATGCCAAAATCCATCTAACTTTGGTCTAAATCTACAGCTACGCCTGGACGGTGCCAGGTGTCGAGATCTGCACATGATGCTGGTGGCTGAGCAGCACTGGCAGCATAGTGAGCCTAGCATTGGAGTTGGGGACGTGGGGAGCAATGAAATAGGCTGCTTTGGATGTGATGGGCAAACTGCGTAGAATGTAGAGGGACTGCTTGTGGTGCGCAGCAGCGACAAGTGCGCCTCGGTCGTGAATGCTGCACAGGCTGCTGTCGAACATGACATCAAGGCCGTGGCAAACAATTTGCGGAACGGAGAAAAGGTTGGCATTGAGCATGGGGACATAGAAGACATCGCGCAGGATAGTTTGGCGTGTAGTTGAGTTAAAATGGATGTTGAGCTCAACCCGGCCGATGCCCATTGCTTCAATTGCACAACTGTTGCCGATGACAATACGCTGCGGTGCCACGAGGGCACTGAACGTCAAGAACCAGTTGTGTCTGCACAACATGTGCAACAATGCACCGGAATCGACAATCCACTTGCCCGAGGGGTTGCTGGGCGATGAACCAAGGGCAGACCCTGCCCGAAGCTCTGCCATGAAGAGCTGAAGTGGTTCGGCATCGGCATCGTGCTTGGTGTGCGCAAGTTGGGCGCTATGTTCCCTTGACTTGTCCTTCTCGTGTGATGACCCGTCACCTGGCAATGTGGACTTGCCGCCTTTCTCCTTCAACTCCTTGTCGGCCTTCTTCTTCTTGCATTTGTGCTCATAGTGTCCCTTCTTCTTGCAGTAGTTACACTTCTCTGCCCTCTTGTCCCTCTTCGGCTTGCCAGCACCCTTCGATGGTTGAGGAGCAGTTGTTGCCACGAGCACTTGCTGCATTGTTGCGTGCAACTTCTCCTTGATGAGGACTTGCGAGGCGACTGATGTCATTGTGAGTTTCTCATCCCATGCCATGAGGATGGTGCAGAGTGTCGAATAGGAAGTGGGGAGGGAAATGAGCATGGCCACCGTGACAAGTGAATCATCAAGGGCCTGGCTGAGGTTGAGGATATGCTGCGCCTTTGCTCTCATCTCCGTGAGCTGGGCCTGCATGAGTGAATCCTCCGCGAGCTTGCTGCGGAACAGCTCGCCAATGAGCTGTGCGATGGTCTGCTGACCTGATCCCTCGTGGCAGTCGCACAGGGTCTTGAAAACACCGTAGGATGTCTCTTCGAGCAAGATGCTGTTGAGCGGCTCATCGGTGAGCGTGAGCGTGATCTGCGCTCGTGCTTCCTCATCTCGGGTGATCCACTCCTCCACGGACTGCGGAAGCAAGTCCAGCGGCCTCTTCTTGTCGCCCTTGACAATCCCGTAGAGCTTTCAAAGCTTGAGGACCATCTTGATGCGGTGCTTCCAGGGTCAGAAGTTACTGCCATCGTTCTTGAGCTGCTCTATGTTGTATAGGCAGCTGGATGCATGGGTTGGGCGACTGGATGATGAGGTTGTACTTGAAAACAAAACCAGGGCCGGCTGGGCGGATCCGCCGGCTTGCAATATCAATGGTGCTGGATTAGAGGCTGATGCAGCCAGGAGGTGTGCTGAGGCAGACGTAGGGCTGCCAACCATGGTTGGAGATGATTATTGAAGAGATTGAAAGGAGCAAATGGGTCTTGTAATGAGCGGCGGGGCTCATAACCTTTTGTGAGGTTACAAGCAGGCGGTGAGTTGACTGACTGAATAAGATAAGAATAAACTCAGTCCCAAGTGTCGAACATGAAGACTGAGGAAAAAGACTATGGCAGCGACACGCATTGACAAGACACCTGCTTACATAAGCTATTGGAAGGAATACTACCTCGGCGTACTCTAAACTATGCAAACGTACAATATAACAACACCTAGAACATGAGCTATGTCTTCATAGGGGAGGGCCATCCTCACTTTATCATGAGCTAGGTACAGTCAAAGAGAATGATGATTTTGCGCAACCTGAGGTCAGTGTCTCTGGGCAGCCCATGGGTGGTATTGTGAGCGACTCCCAAGGTGCGAGCCCCAGAAACCAACAACACTAAAAACCCGCAACTGAGGTAGACGACGAAGCCCTATACAGGACAACGCCGAGAGGGATAAGGGCGGAGTATGACTGCTCGCCGACGTGGCAAGACTAGGCGATGGACGTGCTAGGGAGGTATTCCCACAAGAACTCACTTGGAGTTCGTGGGCTGACATTGCTCAGGTTATATACAAGTACATGGTGTTTGGTCGAGCCAAACAATCTACCTACTATGGTAATGACAGTGTGCGCACAGACCATGCTGTGCGGAGTACTACTACTTATGGTTAGCGAGTGACATATGTATGATGTCAGTCATGACGCGTAATTGACATCATCATGATGTCATATGGAATGTCCGGGAATCTTAGAGAATGATTATGTAAGCCGGTAATGTAAGGTAGCCGAGCCGGGTCATGTGACTGGTTATGGAAGTAGCCGGTCACGTGACCTATTGCACCAAGAAGTGAAGCTACGACTTCAGCGATGATGTGTGAAATGTGAGTATTCGTGAGTGTTCATGACTGGTCATGCTGTTGTGAGTGATCACGACAGGTATAAGGCAGGGGTGGTGGTGGACAAAGACAGAGGGAGGTTAATGTGGCAGTACACTGAAGTTTCAGACTTGGTGAAGTGACACACTGAGGTTCTCAAGTCCTAGATAGAACCGGCCAATTGAAGTTGATTCAAGAGGGAGAACACTAAGGTTCCCGATGGTACATGCATGCATTATATATGAGTAGATGATTGCCTCCCGGAGAACCCCGGGAGGAGAGAGTAGGTAAAGTGCCCATGCGGATTGCAATAAGTCCATCAACAGAGGTCAACCCAATTGGGAACTGACCAGGAACTAGCCAGGACCTCTCACCGCAACATACCCCCCTCCAGAGGAGCGCCTGTCTCCTCTCAACCTATGCCAGCATTGTCTACTCCTCATTGCCCGCCTCACCCAAAGCTTCTTCGTCAATCTCGCCTTCAGCATCACGGTCTTCATCTTTGCCTTCAAATTTGTTGTTTTCCGGAACAACAGTTTTGTCAGCGGGCCCAGTGAATTTGTCATCTACGTAGTCTCCAAGTTCGGCTAATGGGTTGGTAGGTTGGTTACCCTCTTCTGTGTTGTCCATGGCTATGTCTTCATCCACAGCAGTGTTCACTGGGTTGATGACGAGAGCGTTGGGGTGAATGGAGGGACCGGCGACAGGAGGGGCAGAGGTGATGACAACTGAAGGTGAGTATGAGTGTTCAGCCCAATGATAGTCCCCGCGAGGAGAGCGAGACTTGCTACAATCCTCGCGGCGGCAACTAGTTGATGGCTTCTGGGTCTTGTTTTGATGAGATACTGATTTGCTTGAGTAGTGTCTGCGACGAGTGTCCGTGGAACGAGAGCGCTGGGCGGAGCGCCCACGAGACCTGGAATGGATCGGAGTGCGGGCGGCGTGGCAAGAGTGGGTAGGAGAACAGGACCAGTAGTGGCGAGAGATGTCATGATGGGCAGAGGGCTGAGGCTGAGGGCCTCGGGACGAAAGTCGGTGAGTGGAATGTCTGCAATACTCTTTGCGATGTGACTGATGGGTGTAGCCTTGACCACGTGGCGACCTCAAGCGAGAGTCACAGTCATGTCTGTAGACCGGGGCCGACCTAGGTGGCGGGCGGCCACGATCGGGTCCGTGACGTCCTCTCGTAGAGGTGTTGTAGGCATCTGGCCTGAACCTGCCTCTGCCTTGGTGAGAGGCGTGTCCGCCATATCCGCCGCGCGATGGCGCGGGTCCTCCGCCACCACCCCAAACAGCCGACCGCCTCTTCTCAGTGTTGACATTCCTCGCTAGGACATGCCAAGCGATGATGTTGCATTCAGTGGCCTGCTCTTGTTCCAGCACGACCCTCCCTTGGCCCTGGATTGAATACATGAATTTTGCGTTGTCGCTGACCAGGTCCTGGAGCAGCGGCGAGCGCCGCAAGTTCCGGTGAAGGCGCGGCGTATTGTACTCATCATACTGAACGAGCTCCGTGGTGTTTTCCTCGCTCCACTTGGTCGAGACGAGGTGGTAGCCTGCCGGCAGGATGTAGTTGAGGTTTTGTTGGAGGTGCTTGTTGTGCTCGAAGATCGCCCGCACCTGGTCCTCGGTGAAGGCGACTAGCTTGCCGCCGTCCTCAACATAGTAGCATCTGTTGCCACCATCGAAGATCGTACGACCATTGAAAGGAAGTTCGTTGTCGGTGGTCAACATTGGGGGGAACATGAACATTTTGGAATAGATGGTGTTCCAGGTGAGTGATACCAAGTGGAAGATGAGGGTGATTGCTGACTTGAACCACCCTGGCACCCCAGGTTGTCTTATATCAGTGCTCGACCCCGGCGAAGTGAGGCCAGCATAGATCTGCGGATCATCTGGAGGAGTGGCATCACCCTCTTTTAGTTTGGTGATGCCCTCAACACCGCTTATATCAAGATAATTGCGCAACGACTCCTTTCCCTCAAGCTCATCACACCGCATCCAGGTACAATCGCCCGACTTCCATGCAACTTTGAACAGTGCATTGCTTTGGCTACCCTTGTGGCCGACAATTTTGTCAATTGCCCACTTGGAACTCTCCCTGAGGAACCCGGCAACTTGGTGCGCCAATCAACCCAGGAACAATCTGTTATCGTTGGGAACGTGTATCCTCAGCAACAACGAGTGAAACACATTGTGAATGCCCCGCTGTGCCAGCTGGCTGGGCAGTTCGACGCAAAACGAGTTATTGAGGAAATCATTGATGATGCGATAAGGTCCAATAAACTTCGGTACGAGTTTCCTCGCAGTGCCTTTCGGAAAGCTAATATTCTTAGTCAACACATACACCAGGTCGCCTTTGGCAAATGGAGACTCTTGTTGTCGTCCGTTCGCTACTCGAGTCTGCTTTATCCGGGCGGACAGGATGGCATTGTGTGCAGACATTACTGCCGCCCTCATCCGTTGGGCATAGACTCAAATGCCTGGATATTTGCTCTCGGAAGGTGAGTTCCAGACAAGTGTACGTGGCATGCGGCCACTATTCAGGAAGAATGGTGAGTATCCCGTTATCTGGGACTGTGCAAGATTAATCGCGAACTCAATTGCAGGCAGCTGTTTAACCCAATTGCGTTGGTTGGGGCTGATACACGACCGAAGCATCTGTCTGATTGTCTGATTGGCACACTCCGTCAAGCCATCTGTCTTGGGATGGTAGGTGCTTGACATCTTCTGCTTGATTCTGAGTAGCTTGTTCAGGTGAGTCCAGAACTGGCTTGTGAACAGCATGTCCCGATCACTGATGATAGCTTTTGGTAGCCCATGATACTTGTATACTTCTGCAAATACAAGTTCTGCCATGTCCTTGGCTGTATACGTGGTCTTGCTCAGCACCAGGTGCACCATCGCCGTCAGTAAGTCGATGACTGTGGTGATCAAGTCATACTTGCCGTCCCGGTTTGTTGACACTGGTAGTGGACCAATGAAGTTGATTCCAATCGCTTCCCAAGGCCGACTTGTCACAGGTAAGGGATTCAATAGACCATATGGCTTATGATTCGGCAACTTGCTCATCTGGCAAGTGTTACAGGATGCGCAGAACTGGTGGACATCATGCACCATGGTCCTCCACCACAGGTATTCCCAAAGGTAAGACACTGTCTTCTCTGTGCCAAGGTGGGCTAACAGAGAGTGTGCTTGGTCTATCAGAAACTCACGCAGTTTGCGCCCGCCAATCTGGATGTCGGGCATGCAAATCACCTTTCGGTCGCGTAATTGTAGGTGTACAAGGCTGTCAAGCACCTCAAAGTTCAGGTGCTCCTTTGGAGATTGTACGACATGTTTGAGATCTGAGTCCTCATGGTATCAGTTGCGCATCTTATCCAGCAGCCCCTTGTATTCAGGATAGCCAACTGGCAAGGTGGGTGGTACGACATCTGTATCGTCCGGAAGAGGTTGCTCATCGAGAGCAGGTACTTCAAGAGCACTTTCCGTGCGTTCCCCCCCCTCCAGCAGAGCCCTAGGCCCACGCACAATCACCTTCCCTTTCATCCGCTTTGCAAAGTTGTGGGCAGATTCCATCGGAGGAAGGGCAGCAAGAGGAGAGGTGGGGTTCGGTTCCGGAACGCGCAAGCACGGACACTCGGCAGCCAGTTGTCACTGAGGTTTTGCAGGCACCGACTGTGACCTCGCCGCGGTGCCTCGTTTGGGACGCGCGTGCGACGCTGGTCCTGGTTCAGGCACCTCAGCGCTCGGCCCATTGTGTGTCTTTGCATGGTCAGCAAGACGCACACTGCGCCGTAGCAACCCAGCTGCGGCTTTGGCACCGACAATTACAGGCACGCTGATCACCTGCGGCTTGTCACATCCACAAACGTAGATGTCATCATCGCGCGTCTTGACAAACTCGGTCAGCAAGCAAACGGTACCCAGCAGATCGTGTTTGTACATCCGCAACAGTGTGTCGGGAAGCACATTCTCAACCCCAGGCACGTACTGGATGTCAATATTGAACATTCCCAGCTTTTCCCACCAACGCGCCTGTCGCCCCGACAAATCACGTTGGGTTTTCAAGTGCACCAGGGCTTTGTGGTCCGTGACCCACGTGAAGTGCACGCCCTGCAAGATGTCGCAAAACCACCACATCAACTCGACGCCAGCGAGCATCTCTTGCTCGTGCACCGGGTAGTTTCGCTGTGCCAACTTCAGCTTTGCTGAATAAAACGCGGAGACCTTGGCAGTTTGCCAGTTGTCCCCTTGTGCTACAACACCACCAATCCCGGTCAAACACATGTCGGTCATGAGCCAGATGCGAGGTGCTGTGTCACCGTACTGTAGTGGCACCCTCGCATGTGGTTTACACCTGGCGACAAGCTCCTTGGTCTCGTTGAAGGCCCAATCCGCGGTTTGGGTCCAGAAGAACGGTTTGCCTTCGGCAGCTACATCCTCCAGTACACCCAGTGGTTTCTGTACCATATGAACATCATCCGCCAGGTATCCAACCGACCCGGTGAATCCCTTGCAGAGGGTATGGTTCACCGGCGTCTTCCAGTTGACAATTCGGTCAACTTTGTCTGTGTCCATCTTGATGCCGTCAGCAGTGACGACACGTCCAAGGATCTTGACCTCGTTGCACAGGAACTGCAGCTTCCGTTCAGAAAGGTACAGCTTTTGCTCTTCAAGCACCTTCAAGACTTTCTCGCAGTGAGTAATATGTTCATCCAGCGAGTCAGAATAGATAATCATATCATCCAGGTACACTTCCATGAACACCCCAATGTACTCGCTGAAGATATGATTCATCAAGGCTTGGTACGTCGCTGGAGCATTACAGCTGCCTTGCTGAATCACAAGACTAACCATGTTGCCATCAGGTGTTGTGACTGCAGTACAATTGACATGTTCGGGCATGACACAAATTTGTTCACACGTGTCCTGCCCGTCGAGTAGGCTATGAAACGGTTTACGAGCAACTCACCGCAAGATGCCCTCCATATCCGGCATGGGGGAGCTCAACTTCATGCAATTGTCATTCCGTGCACGCAGATTGTTCATGATACGTGCTCTCGGTGTGCCATCATTGAGTTTTGCGCCGGGTTTCACAATCACCATCACCGGGCAAGTATTCCGCACGGTGGTCATTTTCCACCGCCTGGATTGTAAGTACTCCTGCTTCTTCTCATTCCATTGGCGAAGCAGGCGTAGCTGTAGATTTAGGCCAAAGTTTCATGGATCTTCGCACAAGAACATTTGACAAAAGTGGTGGATCTTTGTGAACAGACCAGGTCTTGTGGATTTTTCCAGGAGGTGAGGTACATGTGAGCGACTCCTAAGGCGCGAGCCCCAGAAACCAACTACACATAAGATCTACACGAAGAAGTAGACGGCGAAGCCCTATACAGGACAACGCCGAGAGGTAAAGGCGGGGATGAGGAGTGTTGACTGCTCGCCGACGTGGCAAGACTAGGCAAAGGACTTTTAGGAGGGAATCCCACAAGAACTCACTTAGAGTCTTGGGGCGTAGATTGCTCAGACTATATACAAGTACATGATGTTTGGTTGAGCCAAACAGACTAACTAATATGGTAACGACTGTGTGCGCACAGACCAAGCAGTGCGAGGTACTACTACTAGTGGTAAAGGAGTGACGTATGTGTGATGTCAGTTATGACGCGTTGATGACGCGTTTGTGACATCATGATGATATTATAACGAATGTCCGGGAATGTCATGGAATGATTAAGTAAGTTGGTAATGTATAGTAGCCGAACCGGGTCATGTGACCGGTTATTGAGGTAGCCGGTCATGTGGCCTATTGCACCAAGAAGTGAAGCTGCAACTTCAGCAACGATGCA